TAATAATAATAATAATAATAATAATAATAATAATAATAATAATAATATACATATTAATTGTACATATACTAATAATACATCATTGAATAATTACTTCACTATAGAATGTATCACTGATAAAAAAAATTATACTTGTAATAATTTCTTCAATAAAATTTATTACATGGAAAACAGAACTTTTGATAAAACTCTTACGTTTACTTTACGAAACTTTGGTAAAATATACATTTCTCGATTCTTAGGCAGGATCTTAGAATAGTGCATATCGAAGCTTCGTAAGGCTCACTTCGGTACGGATTTTGTTCGAACTTTCTGCGTATGTAAGATAATATTAGTTAAACATGATACAGTAAAAACGCTTATTAAACAATAAAATATAATATAACCGGTTGTTACGTTAAAATTTCTTCTGTTACTTCGTACGGGTTAGCTGCCGTTACTCGCAACACGTGTACACGTGTTACAAGTGGAACATTATATTACGGTGTACTAAAAAAGACCGACTAAAAAATATAGCATTACAAATAACAATACTACCTATTTACGCATTTATAATATATGTATATCTATAATACAATTTGATAAGGAAATATAAGAGCCACCTGTAAGGACAGGCTACTCCTTTATATTTTTGTGTGTGTTTGTATATTTGAGAGAAATTTCACATCTCTTAATCTTGAATATCTAAGAAGACACTTTGTAATAGGCACAACATTAATTACGTTTTTATGCTGCCTGTCATTGTACAAAGGCAAAGCTACAATAATTCGTAACTTTACCATGATGACGCTCCATGATCATTCCTTTGTTCGCTGTACATTTTTTAAGTATCGTATGTACTCGTATACATTTATGCTAGTAATGATTTGACTTCCGAAGAACTTTACATAATTTTTTTTCTTTTTTCCATCTTTCTTACCAACATCCTAAATATATACATCCGTTACACAATACATCATTGTGAGATAAAAAAAAAGATAAGGAAAGGAAATACTGAAATACCGAGGGCGAGTCTGTAATACAGAATAGGAAAACAGTTTAAACGAGCAAATACATATGACATTTGATAGTGAAACGTCGTGCAGCTAGAATCATCAAGCTCGATCATTAATATGTTTATATATTACAATTAATTGTTGTAAAATTAAATAACAAGTCTTTACGCGTACCATTGTAATTTGACAAAAGTCATTTCCTCATGAAAGATCGCATCTTGTTCACACATTTATCCATAAAGTTCTTTTTTCGTTTCGGCTCGGCTCCTGTTGGAAGCGAGAGCAAGGAACCCTGCTCTCGTGACTTGTATTCGTTTGACGAAATGCTTTCGTCAGAATCTAACCCCGCGCCACAACTCTTTGCTTTGAGCAGTGTCAACTTGTCGTTTCCCGTTACCACCAATCGTTCCTTTAATTCTGTGTTACTATCACAAGGATCAATATTCTCTGAACTAGCCTGGGAGTTCTTCTCGTCTTCTAGGCTCGGAATCACAGATGACAACGCTGTATCTACACTTACGAATCGATTTGGTTTGGGCGGTCGAGTTGGTAAATTTTGTTCCCCTTTGTCGCTGTTCTTCATCTCGAGGCTCGACGATTTTTGCACCTCTTCTCGCTCTACAATATCAACCGGCTCCGATTTTGTTTCTGCAGCTGTTTTTAACCGCTGTCTAGGAACTGGTATTGGACTTTGATTCTCGTTCGATTTTGCCTTTCGATGGTCAGACTTGTCAGAATGAAGTTTAACAATCGATTCTTCTTCTACGTTGTTCTCTGCCTTTTCAGGTGCAATTTGAGAAAGGCTGTCCTTTACTTTAGTGTCGGAAAGTCTATCTAAAGCTTCCAGGAACATCCTGCAGTCAATTTTACTCTCGTTGTCCGGCTTCAGTGATTCTTCAGTCTTCATTTCTGGCACTATACCATCTTCATCTAATAAACCATCTAAGCTTCTCGACCTTGGTCTCGTCTGTACTTCTGGTTCTTTAACAGGAGAGATCGACTTCTTTTCATCTTGATCGAGCAGTTCCAACGAACGAGATCTGCTGGATGGAGAAGGAGGATGTCGTGGAGGTCTTCGTGGTATTGGACTTTCTCCAGACTGTGTATGGGTGAACTTCAATCGCGGAGACGTAGGCGGTAAACCCATTAACCAACGGGACGGACTTGACGATTTTCTAAGCCTGCAATATGAATAAAAATAGTAGTGGATTCTAGTTTTGTGAATCGCCAAATAAATACAATTTTAATACAGTCATGAGTACAACAATCATGCAGCCTATATTTCTAGTTTTATTATTTCAAGGTAAAAGGTTGACATATATGAAACATTGCTCCGTTTTTGTATTGGACACATATCACTAAACATATCTTAGAATGATTTTCTTCATATTATTACTTAATACTCACATGACATGAACATATATTCATATGAATATAATTTTAATGTATAGCAAGGGAATCATTCTAAGATTGATAACATTTAAACATGAAATACACTTTATGGCTGTGTAAATAATAAAAATTAAAATACACAATAATAACATAAAATAAGCAGACTACGTGGATAAACAAGCCGATAAGACACCGATTAAAACATAAAATAAAACCTCCTCGACTGACCTAGATATGACTGATTGTCTTTAGCGCAATTGTTAATCCTGGCTGCATAGAAATAAAAAAAATTGTGTTAGAATTGTTGCAGCCCAGATTCTGGTAAGAGTTTAATTCTCTAGGTGAATCTCATTTCTGTAAAAGAAATAGATACCTGCTCGGTATGGCTGTGGGCGGGCCTTCTAGTCAATCTCGCCCCCCTGTCGAATCTTTATCACTGCCTCTACTTTCATTGCTGTGCATGCGCTGGTAACTCGGTGGTTGTCGAATATTCGTATTACTCGGTGTGTTTGGTTGCGTCACGTCCTTGGGCGCGATGCTTCTTGGAAGGTCTGATCTGACTGGTATTTCACCTCGCATAAACCTGGAAATCAAATTCTTATTTTAGGAAAATCTTCAACGCACGTTCAGGATGGAAATTGCAAACGACGCGATAGAAAAGAAAGCAAATTATTTACAGTAAAGGAAGTTTGTTACTTCTAAAATCTAACGATTTATTTTAAACGTAAAGGATTTAATTTTGGACGTGTTTTTTAAACTTTTATGAGTATCATAAATTTTCACGTTTACCTTTCTAGTTTGTCTACGCAGGCGTCTTGGTAATCGTGGATCCATCGTACGCCATTGAAATGGCAAACTGCTCGCATGTCTTCGGGAAGTTCTTCAGGTTCTGGCCACTGAAAATTGTCTATGATGGGAATTATATTACACTGCGACTGTAGAGCTGCTACAATCTCCTGTAAACATCATTAATGTCACATCACATATTTTTCTAACAATACCCATAGATATTCCATTTTATAAACTGGATCAATAACTTACCCTATGAACCCAGTCTTTGCACTCACTGTCTTGTATACACCTTTCCAAAGCCTTGGGCGTTAGCACAAGGAGGAAGTGTTTTGCCTGTCTGATGCTTTGCAGCAGATTATTGTCAAATTTACCAGCTTCTAACCTCTCGACGTCAATAAATACAGAAAAACCTCTTAATTGTAAATGGACTTTTAACAGACTGGCCAATTGGGATCCATTTGATCTTCTGTAACTAACAAATACATCCAAGGATTTGTCTGGTGACTCATCCTCCGAAGAGCCCAACTGATTGTGCTGCATGTTCTTAATAGCGTCCAATATCCTCAGCCTATGGATGCTATTCGCGATACCACACTCTGTCAATAGTTGGTCCTCAGATAGATTTCTGATAGAGTCTTTGTCAACGCCAGCGTTGAGCATACTGTACGTGTAGATTGAGAACTCCTGGCCGATAGATTGCAAAAAGCTATTCAAGTTCCCCGTGTCTCTACTACTATAGTCAGCCATTTTCTTCAAGTTCTGCAATTCTCTAGTAAATCTTCGCCGTCTGATACCGTTTGTCAGACCAATATCTTCCTTGAGATTCTCTTCCGTTAGTTGTAACAACAGATCACCGTCTACCCTACTTTCCACGAAATTCTGCGCGCATTCCGCGAATCCAATTTGCTTCACCCACTCCCTGACATCCTCTGTAGACCAGAGTGGCACCTGTTGGCTGAGTTTATGAGGTATCTCCTCTCCGATTAATCGCAACGCTTGCGCCGCGTACTTAGATGCAATCGCGTTTGGGCAACTAGCTACCTTCTTTAACGGTTCGATGGCCCCTATCGCACGGAAGATCTCAGTGTTGCCCTGCTGTTTCTTGATACCAGCCTCCATACAAAAATGGAAAGCCGCCAAGTTCCTGGCTTCCTCTCTCTTTGAGCTTAATACTGGCACCAACCTCTCGAGCCAATTTTTACTCTGACCATGTGCATGAGCTAGGTTCGACTTGGCGAATTCATAAGGATTGTGCGAGGTCACAAATGGTTCGACCAAATCCAGCGTACCAGACTTCAACACTGCTGCTTCTATTTCCTTATTGGCTACTAATACAGCGATTGCCAGGCAGGCGTAGTACTTAATGTTATCATCATTGTGGAAAGCTAATGGGAACAGCCACATAGGCACTTTCCTCTTGATCATTGCTTCCTGATTCTCTGCACCACCATACAGAGACAGATTGGCTAAGGCGCCGGCACAGTGTCTTAACGTTTCAACGTCATTCTTTCTGCATTCAAATAGGACAGCATCTAAACCGCCTAGCCTGATCACGTCGCTGCAAGTCCCCTCGCTGTGCTTGAACAGATGTTCCAAGATCCCGGTGCCAACTCTGGAGTGGTCGACTGAGTTAGCATTCTTTGTGCATACACAGGCAACGTTCACAACTTTCTCCAAACCGTGTTCCACCACGTGTGCCCTGTTCTCCGTGGTTAAACACTGTTCCAGCAATCTGGCCGAGGAAAACTGCAGTTCTTTGTCGCTGGCCACGCAGTTGGACATTAATAAATCAAGACCGCCTCTTGTTCGAAGGGTGTTGCACAGGCTGTACCCTAATTCATGACCATGAGTGGGCACTGCCCACGCTTTTCTGATTATTTCGTTCACTCTGTTTAACAACAACGGCGCCTTGCCATTTTTGTAATCGTTCGCTTTCAGACGTTCCACGAAACTATCTAGGAAATTAGAGTATTTGGCGATGGCACGATCGACGTCCTGGGGATTCGACTTTGCGCACAGAAGGTCCAGATCGTCGAGAGGCAAGGAGAGGAGTTCATCTTCGGCCGGTCTCATGCCATTCATCAATTGATTCACAGCACTCGCTGCGCTGATCATCGATGATTTCGAGGTGATCCCTTTGGCGACTGTGATGCTCGATTGTGAACTAGCTGTGGAGATGTGCTTCTCATGGTTGAAGATACCCGTCGACGTAACTGTTTGTCTTTGTTGTTGCGCTGCCATGGTCTTCTGAAATGGCGGAAGACAATTCTTTTTAGAATTATTGCATTCCTTGAGAGGAATGTAAAATTATTTACTCTATTTAGAGAACGAGCAATAGGTGATATTAATATTACTAATGTCGTAAATATTTCTTGATGTTTCATAAAATTTTAGTGAAAGAAACATGTTGGAAACATGGCAAGAAAATTAGATATTAATATCGAGAATAATTAGCATACTGTCAGAAAATAAAATTTGGTTGGCCTTTAATAAGATCATTGCGAATATCTTATTCTTATCATTTTTCTCCATTCTTCTTATAACTCGTGGAAATCAGTTTCGAACTGAATAAGAACAGAGTTCATCATTTCTTCTTTCGATTTTAAAAAGTGACATGAACACACTAGTAGAACTAAGAAGCAATGGAGAATTTTCTGTTTTAATAGACGAATAATATACACTCTTGCGTCGTACGAATCACCAGACGCAATGGACATCATCAATCTTTAAAATAGGAATTCTAGATTGGCGCTGACTTGGCGCCATGAAGAATTACCAAGTTCAGTCCCGATGGTATCTTTATTATTGCTGCGTAACACAGCGAGAGCTGAACCAGAATGTTCCAAATTTTTCCATTGTTTTTCCTTCTCCGCATTATCTTCAGTTTAATTCGATCATTTAAAATTCATACACATCCAAATATTTAATCCGTATATTTTGCACCGAAGCTTCGTGGTTTATCGAAGATAAAATAATTCGAAAGAGTTTACAGCAAAGTTTAAATTCCTCAAATTTACAAGAAGAATCATTTTATAAACTTCCAAATTCTCCTAAAACACTTGCTTCCCCCCCCCCTCGAAGAACGTAGGAATCCGAAGGAAGTAATCGAAACTATTCGAAGTAAGAATCGTGACAAAATTCGAAGACAACAGCTCGAATTCTTCCAAATTGCCATGAGACTTTCCTGAAACTTTTAAACCCCCCTGTCAAAGAGTTACAAGCATTCGAAGAACGACAAAAAACGAAAACAAGGTACCATTCTCGAGTCGAGGCTGCACTTCCGCAACATTTCAGGTTTCATCGCGTTCGCAGAATACGAGGGCGTCGCGCTACCGACGTTGGGAAATCGAGAAAGACTGAACGCCGCCGGTGAACTGGCCACCGTTTAAATTCGTAGATCCCACTTTTCCCCGGCAGGGAGGGATGGATCGCGTATAAATTTGCGAGGTGTCTCGGAAAAAGCCGACCGTGGCCTACACGCGTGCCAAATAATATAACGCCGGACGAATGTACGAACATTGCCGGTTGGACGGCACGGGGACTCGTGCCTTCGAATGTTTGCTTGGTGGCTGACCAAATACGAACGGTTCTACTTGATGGTGGCCGTCGAACGTTTCCACGTTTCTCAGTATCGTGGACTTTCGTGGAAAACCGTGGCATGATTTTTTTTTTCTTTTTTCAGGTGTATGTTATGTGGCTTGGCTATCAATATCATACATATCAATATTATACTAATTATATTTCTACGAGACGAATTTGTCAATCCATCTGATTTATTTTAAAGATCTATAATTAATTGATTGAACGAGTAAATGGTCTTTAAAGAAAAAAAAAAAATTTTTCTTTTTTAAATAGTATAAGAATTTTGTATAGAATTTTATATTACTTTTCAATTCGTTTTTATACTACCCAAGTCGGTATAATGTATTGGAAGATTTTCAGCCTTTTTAGTTCTAAACATTTAGATAGTGAATTAATGAGTTGATGTTATTTAGTGTTTTCTCTGTTCTCGATTTCTTACTTTCTCCGAGCTAAAGGAGTCGCTCTGCAGCTTCATCGTGGACGCGGCCATGTTGTTGCTTTCCTGATGCGATAGGTCGCCAGCTTTCAAGCTTCTTTGTTCCTGCAACAGACATAAACTTTATTCATATTTACACGACACACACACACACACGTGAACGTTTAGAATTAGTATCTCCGGTACTTTTCATTTTACTTCGGGAATGTTTCGAAGAGTGGAAAGAACGTTTCATCAAGAGGATAATATTCTCGAAAATGAAAATAAGTAAAAGCGCGACGTTGTTTACGGCCACATCTGACCACATTGATCGATATTTTTTTACGCATTTCTTTGCGCACACGTTTCTCGCATGTATATTTTTACGTGCATAAATATCCGCAGTTCATTCGATATTGTCAACAAAGTTCCAAGTTAAAAATAATATAATCCATCGAAATTAAATATAGATACATCTGTGAATGTTGTTATTTAAACGATCTTCTTACTAGTACTATTTAATGCTGCAGCTTCAAGTTTAAATTAAAGCACGAGGATTTCCTCGCGTAGAGAGGTACGCGTATTATCTCTGGAGCATGCCACAACAAAGAATCAAATTTTAGCCATCGCGCTCGTAACTTCATAACCAAATGAAACCCAGCCGGGAATAGCAACGTCTACGTAAATGCGGAGCGCGTACGTACGCGCAGGAAATCGATGCTTAAAAATACTTCCAGGAAATACTTCTGCCTCGACACCTCAACACCACGAGAGTCCGCCCCGCTGCCAAGATGTTTCATATCGAACGGGGACTTCAAACATCGCGAAAACTTCGATATTTCGAAAACATGGATCCAGGGATCCATGCCGGTGAAATTTCGAAGATACATTCCGCGCGAAGCAAATACGTTTACGAGAACTTCAAAGAGCTTGGAGGAGGAAGAAGTCTTTGAACAAACCGTCCCGCAGACGGATATATTTAATATTGAAACGCGCGTTGCAGCGAATTAGCGCATCATCGAAGGCCCGCCTTACATCGAGTTGGCTAATCACCACGCTAATTCCCGGACGAGGCTCGATAAAATCGCGGCGCCAGCCACAATTGCGCCATTGTGCAACCTTCCATCAGCTAACGGGAGAACTTTGATTAATCGACAAAGCTTCCGAGAGTGATCTTCTATCGAGCGTGATCGTCGTTGGAACGTGATTCGAAGCTGAGAGTAAATTAATCTTTATTATTCTTAATAATGCGCAATAAGCGCGTTCTATGTAAAATAAAACAGGGATTTCTTAGAATTAATTTTTAAACCAAGATTTTACTTTTCCTACATTGTAGGTGTATGAAGGAACCAAAAGATATGAAGAAACTCGTGAGTAATTCTTTCTCCAGATATTTTTCAGGCATACTTTTTGCGCACTTAAATGCGAATATTGATATTATGATTAATCATCGTTTACATAGATTAATTAATCGTAAATTATCTAATAGTTATCATTGTAATAATTATTATTATTTTTTTTTTTAGAAAGAAAGAAAGATAAAAATTTTCTTTTAGTATGTAGATGTTTCCTTTTAATTTTAATGAATTCACGCGTGAAAAGGTCAGTATTTCATTTGACAATGGAGCCTTAAGAAAATTTATTGTTTCTCGTCCCATCTCCAATCTCGAGATCAAATACTGACGAGACGTACAAGCATTCTGTAAATATTTCCTCTTGATCCCAGTGACACTTGTTATCTTCCGTCTGGATTATTAATCGCACTTTCATCGGGGAAAATCAATACAAAATTTCATTCGACTAACATATCAATCTGAAGATACGAATTTCTTAGAAATTCAATATCGATCAACATTCTTTTTTTCCATTTTAACCACCGTGTCATTTTCAAGCGCGCAATACACCAATTATACACAAACCGATGTATCATTCTCTACATCCTCGCTGTTGAAGAGAACATCAAAGAAGAGAAGTTTATTCAATATAATTAGCATAGACTTTCAACTTTCAGTCACCAAATCTTCATCATTATAAAGAAGAATCGGAAAAATCGGTCAACAAGCATGTAGCAATTATTCTCGCAACGAAATTTAAAAACAAAAAAGGAAAAAAAAAAAAATTCCAATACAGACGCAACAATTAACACGAACTTTCAATTTCAGTCGCCGTCACTCTATCAAGAGAAGACAAGACAGAAAAGTAACATAAGCATGAAAGGAAGAAACTCAACAATCGTTCCACTGCAACCAAAATTCAGAAGCATCACAATCCAACGTAAACTTCCAATTTCCCAGTTCATTCAAAGAAAAATGTTCGTCCAATTTGACAGCACCAGTACGAAACACTTTGTCCGAAACTTATCGTTAGAAGAAGATTAGGAAGACTATTTTCGGCTACCGATAAATGCGAAATGCAGACGATGACAGAGATGATCGGCGGGAAATCCTCGGTGACGGAGCTGCCGCGACGTAGTTCCATAACATTCTGGTCCGTCGAAAGCTCATCGGCCGCGGCTCGACCTCTCCTCGCGATCCTCTCCGGCTTCTGACGTATTTCTCTAAATATAATCCGAGTCGTGTCGTCACGGCGGCGAGTTTCACTCGTCCCTGCCACCTTGCGATTCCCTCTACGCGTGTCTCCCACGTGTTGCCATCGTCCTGTCGTTCTCTCCTTCGCTCCTCTCC